ATCTAATGATCAAAATCATAAGTAATTTATCTCATCATCCAATGTACGATGAATTTAGTTAGAGATTATGAGATTCAGAAGGGATCGTAAAATTTTTCTAAATGTATATAAATTGGCAAGTGTCATCCTCAAAAATGATTTAACCCTAGTAAAATCACAGGGTACTCGTAACCTACATGTGTTATACAATGGATGGAAGAAACTCCAAATTCTTGTTTATATTTTTCTTTTTTCTTTCTATTCCCCGCCGAACGTCCGCATTAACATGTTTGGTAATGGAATCGTAACCTCGAGTGTATGTGTTTTTCTGAAACTACGCCAAGTATTCGTTGCTAATTAATTTTTGCTTATACTGAGTTTCGTTCTTCTTTTCCTAAAAATTCACTACAACAAAGAATATATACATGTTTTTCCTTTCCTTTGAAACCGAATTTCCAGACGGGGCTCTACAAGTGCTGATCGCCCCAATCAAAGACCCAAAAACAGTGCATCGTAATTTTCATTTGCAAGAATCAGCTGCTCATTTTTAATAGTGGGATACGATCAAAATGAAGACAAACGGGACAGTTTCCACGGCGAAAGGAACGGATGCAGCCATGGAGAAGAAGCTCCTCCTTCAATACTACTGCCTCACTTTAAACCCATTTCTTGGCTGCTATGTCAAACCCTCGATCATGTAGCCTTTGAATTTCTGAACAACTATGAGTATAGCTGAGTAAATCTTTAATGAATATCCTACTACATCATTTTAAAAAAAAAAAAGAAAAAAAAAGAATATCCTACTACACCTATTGCATATTTATTCTCTCTCTCTGTCTCTCTCTCTCTCAAAATGACGGAGGTTTCTAAAATCACATGTCAAGATACTTGAGGAATAATAATCCACGTCGTGTTGAAAAGATCGTCTCCTAATCCAATATTAAGTTGTTATGCAGACACATTTTCCTGTGGATTAAAGGAATAAAAAAGAATCCCTACCTAATTAATTATAGGTATTATGAAATAACTGGATACGGCAATCTAGCTATCAAATCATTCTTAACTTCTTTAGAATTATTTCGGAACATCATTCTCCAATCATGTATGCATATATATTGACGCTCATACAGGGTAAAGCAACGCCGGCTGTACCAAAGTCCCCATGTATGTTTCATTTCCTGAGCTTAGTCATTCTCGTATATATGCATGCACCTGAATCATGGCAAATTGAACTCTTTCTTTTTTTTTTTTCTGTCCAATTGAACTGAATTATCACTACTGTTTATATGTTCCATTTTTCGTTATTTTGCTCTTTGATTGACTATGAAATGATTGATTATAAAGGTTCCTACCGAGTCCTGAGTGAGCAGCCTCGAGACTCAAAGGACATATATATATATAGTCTGAAGAAAATCTACATTGACATAACGCGTTCTCGGGGGAAATGTTCTTAATGCTTTCCTTGGATAAAGATTACCCACAAACCATCAAATCCCAGAACATCCTTTATAATTACTGTTGTGCGTTTTATAGATCAAGAAAGAAATTCCAGTTTAAATATAGGCGTTGCATGTATTTCAATTATATCCGAATCCCTTGTTAATTATATATAAAAAAATTATTTGCCCGTATCATAAATACGTTTTTAATCACTTTTTTAGCTCATAAACATCACAGTGTCGAAAGAAAGCGTTACAGTGCTGTCATCCTAAAAACTATTTCAAATAATCCTCATAGCCAAACACAAATAATTGTCTGAGTACATCCAATGGCCAAATAGCCAGAAAGATTAGTTACGAATATTAAATGTCGAAGGTCGTTTTCAAGTTGAAGAAGGAAGTAAAGTATTACATCGAAAGATTCTGCCGATGGCTTGAGAACTCGGAAAATTGCGTTGTTATACACAACCACAAGCATCTTCTTTGTGACCTCTGATGTTACTCAAAAGATGTAAGAATCCTAGACAATGATCAAAAGAACAGGTAAGAATTAGTCATAAAAACGGGGGATCCAAATCCGAACCATCATTCTACTTCTATGGAGCAACCAAACTTCCCCAAGAAGCAGATTGATCGTGCAAAAGTTTGCTTTAGAATGAGATGTAGATGCAAGCGTATTATAGTAAGAATCAAATCGTGTAAGAACTTTCGTGTGACTGACATTGCTATGGGAACTGATAAGAAACGTTGAAAAAAACTGGAAAATCATGTTAACAAGGATGCGACTGCTGACACGCGGATTGATGTGTCCATTTTATTCCACCCTTGTTCCTGGGCTGCCAGCTCATGTCTCTGGAAACTATTCAAGACTCTTCCGTTACCAACCCTCGATCCATCCATTGACACTAAATTATGCGTATGAAAAAAGTCTGGGGTCACGCATTCACAATATGCTCCCAACATCAACAAGCTGGCTACCTGTCTGAGAACCCAGCACACACACACACACACACACACACACTCAGAGATAGATAGATATCATGGAAGATGCAGGCCATTGGGGCACCCATGGACCGCTATGGATCACACAGGGCACAGCTAGCACTTGGTAGTATGTTCGTTTCTCTGATGATGGATGACCCACACGGTATCACTACGTCAAAGCACTCGATATTGGCTTTATACTAGTCTGAGAATTACGTGGATCAGATTGCTTCATGCACTATTACTCGGTAATCAGGAAATGGGAATCGGGATGCACTCGAAAAACTTCCAACTTTTCTCATTTCTGAACCCGATCACCACGCTCGCGATCTACTATACAACTGAAAGCTCCTCTTGACCTACCTCCTGTTCCATTCTTTTCGGTGTTTTTTTATTATTATTATTAAATTTTCTGCAGCCCCCCTCAGGCCCCCAGATTTTAGATCTTAATATAATTGTCCAGCATGTCTTGTTTTATCAGATCAGTCATTAGCAGTCAGCGAGCGTGTGTGGATGTAAAATGTGTTTGTTTTGGGAAAGCCTGGCTAGCTCGCATCGACGGACCAATGTAATTAGCGGAGCTGATTAATTATGGTATTGGGAACACCGGAACAGTGACGGATTTTTTAATCCACGCATGGGAGCTGCTGCAATCAATAATAGCACCATGTCAGGATTAGATGGGGGCTTATATCGAATAAAAACCGTGATCTTCAAGTTTCAGGCCAGCCGCAATTAGCTACGCGTCACCTCCAACATTCACCAGTATACGGACTGTGGAATTCCACCACTACTGTTCCAGTGAAAACGAAGCTTCAGCTGCAAGAGCCGAGATGACGTTCTGGGAGACAAATATATGCTTTAACCATCATTACTAAATAACGTACTATTTGCAATACATTAAGTAGTTTTTCTTTTCCAAAATAATTTTTTTTTTACAAAAAAAAAGAGGGGGGGGGGGGTTTCGGTTTCTTGACATGTATGCCATGGAGATATGGGACAAACATTCATCAATAAATCTTTCTATCATTTACCTGTCCCTTTGTCTTGAGAGACTCTGTCGCTTACGTATTAACAACCAGATAAACACACCAAACCCCAAATTATCTCCCTGCTGCCAATTTAATTATTATTTAAAAGACACAGTAAAATTCGATGGAAGACACAACGTTGTCCTGCAGTGCAATTTCACTGCAAGAACTAAAGAGAACGCATTGACCTTACGTACGCAGCGCAGTCAGTCCTGTTTTTATCCCGTGATCCGCCAATTATTGTAATTGGATTTCTCTCGGGAATGGATTGCTCGATTTGGATCCATTCCACCATCCACCCCTCTCGTTTAACCAAAAAAACTAATCCACGGACGCTACTGTTTTTTTTTTTTTTTTTTTTGGGTCCCTCGAGCCATTATAGAAAACAGGACATATGATTTTCAGACAGTTATTGCTATTTTGGACCATCCTCCTTACGGTTAACCAAAGATTTCAGTTATTCGATACTTCTTTCTTTGCAAGTCCCGTGAAACCTCTTATTGATTTTTTTTCGTCCGTGGAAAAGGGGACGAGCATGGTCATCCATTCTTCTCTGGTTTCCCCTTGCAGACAAAAAGATGGCTTTGCAATTTCAATGGGTTCACGTTCAGATGGTGACTCCTTGCCACTGGTCACCTCAGACGAAGCTTAATTGAGTCCCACAATCTTTGCCATGTTAAAAACTGGAGTCGTCTAATTTTTTCCAGATGGCACAACGGCATCGAAAATTAATGCTGTTCAACAAGGCCCTCCCTCAATCAGAGAAGCAATTATGGCGAATGATTGCGAGGAGCACCGCCATAAATGGAGATATAGCGGCTGGGCTTGGCATTTTTACGCTATCAACCTCGCAGGACAGGCAGGAGAGGATTTTGGGACCCTCAGAAAAAAAAACACGCACACACACAACACACACTAACAAGCATTTTCTTGATTCTTTTCCCATAAAATTAGGCATTATTGAAGAAACAGCCATCCGGGGAGCGTCACTTTAGTGTGTGGTGCAAGAAAAACCATGGGCGTCACGCCTTTCTTCCTCAGCAGCCTAAGAAATAGCCTTTATATTCTTCAACTCCTAGATGGATATCTGCTGATTAAGTTACGATGGGTGACTCGAACAGCATCAGCAATATACAGAATAGAGACACCTCCGCTGTATCTCTTCTACCAAAGCACAAAAAGTACGCAAGTAGACGCCTAGCAAGAAAGGCTTAATCTTCGTCGTATTATCGTAATCATCTAATTTGATTAGGACAAAACTACTAAAATTATAAATTCCAAGGTCCTCATAAAGCCACACTATAATATTACACACTTTTGAAGTCCACAAGAAGTTAGGGTTTATCTCCCTAGCCACAGTTGCTGTCGATGCATCGCTTTTTTATTCAAAAAAAATAATAATTAAGTACTAAGGTCTCATGAATGTTCACGCTAAATGAAGTCTGGAACGGGGATTAAAAGGAGAAGATAACGGCTACAATTGGAAAAGAGAGAGAGTGAGACCATTAGCATTTGCCAAAATTTATATATATAAATAATGGTGTGCAGAATCGAACAATCATCGACATATAAAGTATGAAAGTTTGTTGTAAAATAATACCAAACTGTTCTTGTGGCAAAGTCTTTCCTATTAACAAATCATTCTCAGACAAAATCAACAGACAAACACGTGAGCAGAGACACGGAAGCAAAGCCGTGGGATTCCCTACTGGATGCTGACATATCTCGCGTCATCCCAAATGGGCCTCAAAATTTTGCAGAATTACTTTATGTGGCATCACTCGAAAGATGTTAGGCACAAGCAGGGAGGGCTATACCGGGCAGGCAAAGCCCAGCATATTCCTACCGCAGATGATTGAATATCCCCTGAAGTGATCTCATGTCCCAACCCTTGAACGAATCAAATAGTAGTATTTCGAAACAGGGCAGGATCCTATGTACCATGTTGTACTGTTGTTTATCTGCTTCTCTCCGTCTCCCCCCAACAGCTACTTCAAACCAAACATGGGTCTACATTTCCTATCATCTTTTATTTTTGAGCAAGTTTTGGTTCCCCATGTCCTGATGTGAAACATCACCACCATGTATAAAATTGCACCGACTTCCACCCATCCACTCCCTACATCTAGCCCTAAAAAAGTTAAATATGTTTGAAGAAACAATTAGAAGAAAATCTAACCATATGTATGGAAGCAGGGGATATCAAAGAACCCAACTTGAGCATGCATTAATTAAAGCCCAATTCGCATCCACGAACCTAAATTAAAGCCCAATTTGCATCCACGAACATAAGCTAGGAAAATTCACCAGGCATAATCCGGTTACACCATTCAAATTGATTGAAATGCTTTATGTCTTTCAAAAAGGGAACTAACAAACCTACAGAACAATTGATAAAAAAACAAGAAATGGGGGAGGAGGACAAGAAGGACGAAACAACAAAAGCATAGCAAAAGGCAAACCATGCTAGGCCCACAATTAAAAGAATTTTTTTGTGGATGGATTGCACCATCAAGATCCCAATCTATTTGGCTATATATATATATATATATATACATGCAGATATAAACTATGCAATCTACCTTAAATCTTCAAAATCATCAGTACAGCCCATTAAAGTTCCAAGAATTATAGAGAGATTTGTTACACACACAGGTTCAACTTGAACAAATGCAAACAGTACAATTGTCAGCCATCAGCATTCGTATGACAAGCATGCTAATATGGAGCATTACATTTAAGCTAAAAATTCAGATCCACTCTGTTTGATTTAATCTTTGCCTTTAAATAATTATTAGGTAATAAATATTAGCTCATAGAAAAGAAATACTACAGGGTTTAGGTCTCCATCCAACTCAATGATACTTGAGCTGAAACTCTTCATGGTACAATAGCTCAATCAAAACCAAAAATTCCATGCATTATTGAGTTTCACAAAGACAAATCTTGTTCGGTAAAAACAAATTTCAGATAAGAAAAATACTGAAACCAACAAGAATTCATGCTTATGATGCCATCTTTGACTGCTCAGCTACCGAAGCAACTGCACCAACTCTTGTGAATAGGTAAAATAGGTTAAGCTTCACTGCAGATCCATTCCTGGGAACCAGTAGTACTAGGGTATCGTTTATAAACAAAATAACAATTATTGTAAGGATAACTTTTCCATACACTATCAGTGTAAAGATTTTTTCACACAAGCACATTTAGATCATGCCATATAACATGAATTCAAATTTGAAATTCAAACCATGCACATGTGGCATACATTTAAAGCTGCTAGTGTAAAAAAATCACAATACTGTCAGCGCATAAAAAGTTAATCCTTATTGTAATGCTGTATAGCAAGGACTAATACAGTACTGTTCATAATTAGACAACAATAATTTATAGTGCAGTACTCTAGATGGTTCAGACTACGTTACAATGCCAGAACATACAGGCAAAGCGATGTCAAAGCATTGCCTATGCCAACAGAGGCCCTTAAAAATGAACATCTACCATGCAACTGTCAGAACTACTCAAAATAATCTAGAAAATGAAATTTCATGTCCAGAACCCAAAGATAATCAGTTATTTAAAGATAACCAGCCATAAAAGTTTTTCATAACATACCCTATAATATAATGACATTATTAGATGATTCAAAACTTAAACCATAATGTCAACTCCTCCCCCATAATGAAAGTCTTCTCAAGGAATTCTTAGGCATTTAAATAGACACATGCAACAGCAAAACAAAAAACCAAAAAAAAAAAAAAAGGAACTGTATCTTATTTACCACTCCCAAACAATCTCCAGAATGCAAGTATTATTGTCGTCAATGAATCTATGCCAGTATGTCTAATTTAATTTTGGTAGGTCTCTGGGCACACAAATTTCACTGCCACCATGATAATCAGGATCCAACTTCCACTAAGTAATTGAGTATGACCACCAACTTTAACAGGAAAGAGAGGTTGACCTTTGCAAACTGTTTAGCACCATGAAAACTCCTATGGTATTGTGAAGTTTCTCTGAAGAGTCATCCCTAACAAAAGTCAGTACAAACCTGCACAAAACCTCTTCAAATTAAAATCCATATAGGGTCAAACTGTTGTGCACCATGACAACCCCTATAGCATGGTGAAGCTTCTCTGAAAAGCCATCCCTAACAAAAGGCGGTAAGAAAACTTGCATAAATCCTCTTCTGATAAATGTTATGTATATATGTACATGTGTCCACAAAACACACATACGGCAAGTTTTTCAGGTAAACTTTGACATGCATCAAAGTGATGATAAGATATTTTTGGGAGATGATCACATGGATTAGTTATCTTACTTAACAAAAGGCGGTGAAAAAACCTTGCATAAACCCGTTTCCAATAAATGTTATGTATATATGTACATGTATCCACAAAACACACACACGGCAAGTTTTTCTGGTCAACTTTGACAATCATCAAAATGACGATAAGATATTTTTGGGAGACGATCACATGGATTAGTTATCTTACCTAACAAAAGGCAGTAAAAAAAGATTGCATAAATCCTCTTCTAGTAAATGTTATGTATATATGTACGTGTGCCCATAAAACACATACAGGGCAAGTTTTTCAGGTCAACTTTGACATGTCAAAAAAACTTGCAAAAATCCTCTTCCAATAAATTTTATGTATACATGTACATGTGTCCACAAAACATACATACGGCAAGTTTTTCAGGTCAACTTTGACATGCATCAAAGTGACAATAAGATTTTTTGGGAGATGATCACATGGATTAGTTATGTTACCTGCTTTTAATCCTTAGCAATTCGAACAACCAAACCACTGGGTGTCTGAATGGTTTTGAGGTGACCTGAACCAATTAGATCTCTAAGATGAAATCTCATATCCAGTAGAGAATGATGCAGGCGTTTCTTCTCCAAAAGAGCCAACATCATCTCCTTATACTTCCTGCGGTTCAGAAAAGAGAGAAGCTCTTTTCTTCCCTAAGATAAAAGATCTAATCAATGCAAGATAATTAACACCGACAAATGCTAAAAAATTCTAAGATCCATCTTGAAAAGCTGCTTTCTTCTACCACACTCTCTATGTATGGGAGTTATGGGATTATAACATGTATCACAGCTTTTCTTCCCCATCTTCTTTCAGTCCCCTGTCCCCTCCCCACCACCCCTGCCCCCCCCCCCCCCCAACCAGACAGAGAGAGAGAGAGAGAGAGAGTGAGAGAATCTCTTTTTAGAAGAGAAGAAATTACCAATACATTTTATCCAGTCAACCCATTAAATGATTAATGGAGCAATATTTGTAACTAAAGACTAAGAACTCATAGCAGGCATCATGACAAACTAAACTATGGGTAAATAAACTGATGGATACCACCACTTCTGTACTAGTGGTATGGAGTCAGCCCCTAAATCTGCATATGTGTTGATGAGGGATTTTCTGGGAGTTGAAGAAAAGACGGCTAAAATTGAAAAATACTAGGAATAACAGCATCTTAATTCTAACCTGAGACAGGCCCTTAAGTACCGAACCAATATTTGGAATTGCAAACCAGTACATGTTGGGATCAATAAGTTGCCGAGTCTGAAAAAAATAAAGCCACATCAGGAAAAAAATCCATATTACATATAGGAATGAGGACCAACTGGAGTGCGAAAATAGAAAAAGAAGCACATTCAACTAGCAAACCAAAAAAAATAGTAATAGTAATAATCACTTTCCCATGCATGCCAACCATAATGATTCAATTTTATCCCATATAAATCCACAAACAACAAAATCCAATTTTCTCCTGATAAAGGTGCTTTAAAAACACAATGGCCTTCAATCAACTAAAGCCCTCAGGCAGCCCATTACATACATTTCTAAGCTACATTGTACTACAATTACAACTACTAATAGTAGTGTCTGCACACATCAACCAAACTATTCCAATACATAATAAGGAAAAGAACAGAAATCTAGGAGTGCCAATTCATTTTGAGCTCCCAGCCAATTCTAGACTACTGGAATCGACTCAAAAAAATGAATGCCAAATAACTGTACCAATTCAACAAAAGTGAAAAAAAGAAGAAGTTATATACACTTACAAGAAGGCCAGCATTAATCAGAAGAGAGATGTGTTCCTCTTTTACCTTTCCCACCAATGAGAGAAGTGAAAACTATCAAGGAAAAAAAAAAAGGACAAGAGTAAAACATTCAAATCATTAAATTAGTGAATGAAGGTCAAAGAACACGACAAAAAAGTCCATATAAAAGTACCTAGAACTCAGGTTCTAATACTATTTGTGCCCATTGTCAAAGAAATGCATGACCATCATAAACTAAATTGAGACAAATCAGGTTTGTCGAATTATGGAGACAAGAAGTAAAACCCAGTTAAAGAGGAAGATAATCAATGGAAAGATGTAAACAGAAAACAAGTGTCCCCTGTTTGACATCACATGAATGATTGCCAAGCCTTATTTTTGTAACATCCTTCAACTGTCTTACATCAAAGAACTCATTGACATGATTCTGATACTCTCTTGCACACAAAATCGTTTCCATGCATCTGTGAAGAAAAGTAAGCCACGACCTCTTATCATTCAAGCAATATGTTAGGACATTCAATGTCTGCAATAGATTGCTTACAAGTTCTTGATGTCCAATACTAGGATCCAGCTTGGAAGGAATGACGTGTGTTTTAAACCAATCAAAAACAGTCAGATCATCTTGCCTCTTGGTCTGAAGTCGTTTGACAGCACGCTCAATCTAGAGAAAAAAATTGGAGTTGATCAAAATGATCAAAGCAGTCCTAAAGTACCTAAAAATTTCACTTGCTCATGAGCACATGTTATAAAACAATGCCTTCCAGGATTTGAGCACATTAAAAGGCATACGACATAGAATACCTGAAAATTGTGTTGTACAATATAGAGACCATAAAAGTACTACTACTATCAAGAATAAGCTCGAAAAGAAGAAAAAAAGAAAAGAAAATTTGTAGGACAAGTATCTCCTCTACAGATAAAACGCGGATACATAACTCACCATTCGTCAAATTAACCAAAAAAGAAGTGACACTGCACGGGAGGTGTAAAGCAACCAACTAACCTGACTTTGGTAGTCATCCACAAACATTACAGCATGATCGTCTTGTCCAGTATTTAATTTAAAAACACGTATAATGCATTCCCTTTTCAGAGACTGCAAAATAACGAAGTTAAAATGAATTAGTCTGCCACAGAAAGGCTGACAAAACCAAACCTCCGTCGTGCTTGCAGGCCGCAGCAGCAGCACCTACCTCTAATTCCCTATCCACTTGTGTCCTGTCCTTGACGCAGCTGTATAATTGTGACCTTAAAATGAAAGGCTGAATTGAAACCTGTTTCCAGCATGCTTTTAAATGTTTAGCTCATGCTAATTGTAACGCAGGCTTTCTCGCTACAGCTAACACTTAAAACTATGAATGCCGATTCAGCTCTGATCGACTAGCACAAATAATCAATCACGGTCATCAATTAAAGGAACAAAAATGTATATTGAAAATACCTTTTCGATTCGAGGGAACTGAGAACGCATCATCCGAAGAGCTACCAAGGTGTCGCTAAAAATTAGATTGTCCTCTGCAAGTGCATGCATTCATGTTTGTCGTAATTAGCATCGCAATGCCCCGAGGTTAATTACCAGTATTCGCTCTCTCAATTTCATACTGCTCTACTAATAGAGTATTATAATGAATAAGCATTTTGCCAGACTAGAAAATTCCACGGACCTAGTGATACAAATTGGTCGGCTGCTTCAGTCTCCGGCGAAGATTCCTGCTCTCGTTGACGTTTTCTGCCGGTCGATGCCTTCGACGTCGTTGCTTCCATCGGGATTACGATTCTCAGCTACGGTTCTGAGCTCGTCCAACTTGGCTATCTAGAGTCCGTAGCGCTTAGGTTGCTTTGGGAAAATTATGATGCAGTGGCCAGATCTTGAAATTAATAAATCCTTAGTGAGATAGACAGTATTATTAACCACTGGGCCAATGGCTCAGTGGCTACTAGGGAGGGACTTAAGTCCCTTCTTGGGTTGTTGGTGAGGGTTCAAACCTCACCAGCAGCGAAAAAAAATCTAAGGGTTGTGCCATAGCACTTCCTTGGTCTAGTTGGGTCTGTATACCCACTAACCCCTACAACAGCCTCCTTAGGCTTCCCCTCCCCCTAGATTAGGATAGAGTAGGTTATACAAATGTATCGTCGCTGACAAAAAAAAAAAAAAAGAAAAGAGATAGACAGTATTATTGACTCTTCCCCCGTAGGCATACGTGATAGCGTGCTAATAATAGCAAATTGATTTTTCGTAGATTTCAAATTGCACATCAGACCTTCAAATTTTTTTTTTCCCCTTTAGTAAAAGCAATGATTAGTTGCTTTTAATTTAGTCCTAATTCTGCCCATTACAAAACAAACCTTTAATCCCGCGTTTATACCCTGCCCGTTCGCATTCTTACAACAGTAGATAATTGCTCAGAATCTCACTTCTTAACATCCAGGGTTTGCACTTTTTCCTTTATGTTTCTCTGGTTTTTAACTAATCTCGTAGTATCCGTTTAAGAAGTGTTTTCCTTTCTCTTTTCTTTTTCATTTTGAGGTGGAGGTACAGCCGGAGCAGTAAATTGTAGAGGTAATTTGCAACATAATAAATACGTCATCCATGCTGAATTCGCTAATAAATCCAAGTTCCAATAGTTTTAATTCTAAGATCACGTCAATGCTAGAAGACGCTGTCGTGACTACGCCCTTCTTTGTAATTCTCACTTGTGACAAAACTCAGTCCAGTTGCATAATAACTTAACTGAATTTATCCTACAACAAAATCGAGTCCGTTATCCAACACTCAATTTTCTCAAGTAACCATCCCATGCCCAAAAAAACGTTGAAATCTCAAAGCTATGAATGAGAATCCTTAAGCCGATTTCAACTTTGCTGAAGTGGAGGCTAGGTAAGAAAGGGTCCTATGTCCGGTAAACATCAACGAGATTCCCAAGATTCCAAGTGCTTTCAATGTTGTAAACAGATCCAACTGCAAAACACAGTAGAATACAAAGCATTAGCCATTCGGAATTGCATGCAAGTCCACGTTGAGGATTAATTTGGTGTTTAGTTCATCAACAAATATTTAGATGTAATTCCATTTCCACTCACAAGGCCCTCGAGGCTATTCAAATGGATGAAGGAGCACTCAAGCTACATGAAACCTATGCAAAAGAGCAGGTTCTTGCAGCTAAACCCAAAGTTGATGCTGTTCAACTACTAGGGGGGAAAATACTCAAAAGAAAACTTTATCTACTTGTTAATATGGAATTATGACCATGTCCAAAGGATCATATTGAAAATATGGACAGTAAACAGTTGAAACAGAGGGCAGTGGTCTTATTAGTTTGATAATGCAAGTGTACTTACAGTGGCACCAATTGTCAACACAAATTCAGGGAAATAGTAATCCAAGACAAAAGAGGTTAAAAAACCCTCATGGGTTCATTTCTCTCTTTTGGTGTGCTTCATACAAAATGGGCCAGGTTAAATGGAAAGAAAATTCAGAGCTTACAATGAACTAGGAAGCAACTAAGCTAAAGCTATATAAAAGTGAGAGTATAGGCTAACAGTGTAAACATGAAAATGCTCTGTTTGCCTAAGCACCTTTGCATAATCCTAACCACCATTTTATCTCACAGGCATCACATCCCAAGAGTGCTACAATATTTTTCAAAAACACGCAATAAAAGCACGTTAATTGTTTGGATAGTGCTTTTATCCCAAATAATATTTCGTTTGCATCATAAACACATTTTCCAACCCACCTTTTTATATTCCCAATCACCTTTTTATCTCACATACATCACATCACAAAAAGTGCTACAGTAATTATTCCAAATAATATTTCAAATAATATACTATCCAAACAAACTGTTCTGTTTCCCTTAATTGCTTTTTGCTGAAAAAGGCCAAGGCAAGTTAGCCAAGGATCTAGGAAGAGCTAAAAAGCAAGCAGTTTACATCAAGGTAGGCAAGGTGGTTCTAAAATTCACCGTGGCACAATGGAGCAACATTACAGTTGAACCAAGGGCCTACCATTTCCCACTTAGTACTATGTTTTTTACATCTACTGTCACATAATAATGAAGTTATTTTGGAGTAGCAATGATGGAAAGGAATCCATGGAGACTATATGCCCAACCCAGACGGCAACCCACACAACCTGGCCCCCTCCCTCCATACCCCTCAAAAAAAAAAAAATGAAACCAAAGTAAGATATGGCCCCTAAATCTCAAAAACCAGAAAAGCATCTATGATCAAAAAGCAGCGCAAAGTAACAAACCTTCAACCAGAAGACCACATATAGTGAGAGAACAGCTGCAATGCCTATGTGGAAAGAAATGGCAAAAAAGGCAGGAAGTGTTGATGAGGGGAAGTTCCTCAGGTTAACCCGGAGCAATAGAAGCTGCAAAGATTGGAGGGAATCAGTATTGTGATCTCGGATGTCAAGCAAGGTTGAACTAGTTAACAAATTTACTAATAACAAAGGAAGGGGAGAATGCAGAAACCTTCCAAAAAAATGCACACACACACACACATAGAAGCATAGGAAACATATGGCATCATAACCTTAGGCTGCAATACTCTGTCGGCTCCTACATATTCCCTTGGATGTAAACACAAATAGAAAATAAACATTCACAAGCAATACCCCACATACTAAGTAAATGCCATATCCACACTCCTAAAAAGTCATACTTTGCGGCAAACAAATGCTCTTTTCTCAGCTTCTCTTGTAACAAATGTAAACATGCTTAAACAAAACAGAAGATAAATAAACATGAACCCACAACCCACCCCAATCAAGAATCCACCAAGTGGCAAGAGAACAAGCCCCAAGAATGCAAAAGAAAGTTCTGTAGGAGGTCTCTTGTCTGGGGATCTAAAAATGTGAGTGATCTCTGCTCTTGGCCCGTATTTTGAGGAAGAGTCTACAGGTTGTGGAGGAGGGCGAGCTGCTTTTTCTGGTGCATCTGGTAGATCTAAATCAAGATAGCCCAGAGGTTGCAAGAAAGAGTTCTCCTAGAAAAGGGAAAAATATTTATTTAATACATAAAAGTACAAAACTTTTCAGTATGCTACTGTGTGTATGGAGAGAGAGAGAAAGAGAGAGAGATTTACCATGACAGAGTCACCCACAGTGAGTTGAATGTCATATCTACCAGACAAATAGAAAAACTTCTCAACCAGTCCAAGAAAATCCTACAACACACAATGTGAAGATTGAAGGCATGAGTTAGGAGCATATGTCAGAATTTACAGACTCGTTTAATTTTGAAACTATCAAATTCTCATCTCAATCATAGGGATTAAAGAAAGTGCGTCATTGTTAGAAAAGACCATGACTGCTCCATTTGAGGTCATTAGACACATCTATACATCTATCCAATCTTGTTCAAGAAAAGATGATTTATACACACACACACATATATCGGAATAATAGTAGTTAATAACAACTAACCAGTGTTATCTCAAAATTTTTCCCAGAACTCCTGACAAGAAAGATATGTTCAACCCCACTCTCATGTCTCAACCTGAGAAATGCCTGCATTACAAGAGACACATTAAGCAAGCAGAACAAGGAAGAACATCAATGGGCAGAAAAAACAAAGTACTGCCAACCTGGTGAGGCTTAAATGCACGACCAAAAGGAGTGGTCAACTGAAAAGTCAATCGCAACTTCTGAAGATGGTTTGCTGATAAAGCGATGGTGTTCTCTCCAGTTAAATCCAGTCTGCAAGTTTACCGACACAAACAAGATGGTAAACGTAGTTAAACTTGATAATCAGTGAAACAAGCAGAGATCAAGGCCAGGAACCTAGATGCTGTCATAGTATTCTAGAATCACAACTCTCCCAGCCGATTTTAAAAAGCGTGCATCACAAGCAATTGTCATGCAGTCCAAAAGAGACTGTTCAAAATTTCAATCCCAATCATCCTCCCATCCATCCAACTGCCCCCTTCCCGCTAAAAGGAAAAGAATAAAGGACATAAAATAAGGGAAAATGATGCTAATTTAAGGCTAAAAAAAACTCAATGCTATCAAAGAGTCAAAGGAGTTGCTGGTGTATTGGGCACGGCTTTGCTATGCGCTATTCTTCATGCTACTGTAGAAAATACTATATTTGAAGATGTGGTGCAATACATTCCATATGTATCATTTGATAACCCCCAAATCTTCTACCTATGGTTCAAATTTCAATCAAACGGAGGAAATTCAAAGATATTTACTGCTTCATAGATCTCAACAACACTGCTTTCTATATCGAGTTTAAATTAGCAGGTTTTTCACTTTTTAACCATTGGAAGCAAAAAATACAAAAATCACCAACAAATAAGAAAATTAATGAACAGATTGAATTCAAAATCAGATCACACACCTTTTTTTAGTTTCTACATTCCCAAGATCACTGTCGAGTATAGCAATCTCTGCTTGATCAATATTAACCACTCCTGTAACATATACAGATACTTTTGTTCGTCCTCCAGTAGCATAGATTTTCTTATGTTCTGGGTCATGAAGCAAAATCTACCATTTGAAATGCGGATTATAAGAATGCCAGCAAAACAGCAGGAAGAAAAAACCTTATGCACAAAAGTGACCAGAGGCACAGAAGTGCTAGAACCCTAAGGAAGAATACCTCAAAGGTAAAAGTATATTTCCCGACATCAACATTCTCAGGCAGAGCATCCAATACATGCAGCTTAGTTTCTGGATCAAACTTAAGTTCCTGGAAATAAGACAGAGAAACAAGAGATAAAGGCACAAGTGAAGGAAAAATAACTCAGAAAAATCAGGCTTTTCCAAAGAAAATGAAAATTTATCAAAACCTGGTCAATAATAGATGCATCCTTTGAACCAGAGGTAAAGATCTGCATCAGTTTGACTGATAGAGGTGGAACAGCAGAGCCAAGA